GGGGCCTCCTGGGGCTCCAGTGGTGGTGACCTGGGTGCAGGGAGCCTGGCTGGCACCTGGAGCTTGTCTCTGGCTAGCTGGGCTCTGGTTTCAGACAGCAGACACTGCTGCCATGTGTGCCACCCCACTTTTTTTCCACATGCTTGTTTGATACTGGGATTTCCTGGTATCTAAATTTGGCAAAGAACCAAATCATGTGTGTGTGGGGTGCATTATGTGGTACCTCAAAAGCCTTTGAGGCACCACAAAATGCATATGCATGCTTGTGTGGATGCAGCAATATTGCCTAAATCCTGAGTTAACAGCCTAAACAGTGAATTATGTTTTCTCTCAACTTAATGAGCATTAAAAGGCTTGTTAATCATATTAAACTAACTTGATTGAGATAACTGGATTGAAACATACACCTTTTACATCCATCAAGTCAGGGCTTAAGTGATATCAGGTAATATTCGAGCTCTGCCACAAACTTCCTAAATTATCTTGGGCAAGTCATGTAACTGTTTTTGTACCTCCTTTTCCTACATCCTGTCTTTACAACAGTATTCCAAGACCTTCTTACTTTTTGACTGTAAAAAAGATCCTTGGGTTCAGTCCTCCTTTGTGAGGTGTGAGCCTAACTCAATGGCCCTTCATCTTCCATTCCCCAAAATACTAAGGAACTAGTAATCTATCTCCCCAGTGTGCTATCCTACTATTTGTTATTGGCTCTGGATAGCTAAGGGATACTTGTAGGTACGTTATTATGAATACAGCATAACACCACTGTCGTTAATGTAATTAAAAGTCTGTTCATGTTCACATACCCAGAAATTCAGTAGGAACTACTGTTACCTGCAACAAGAGATTCAGGTCCCTCCTTGTACAAATAGATACTGAAAGTTCTTTAACTTGACAAAGAAAAAAAAATGCCTATGGATTTTGCATTTCAATGTATAGGAATTCCCTAAAACGGTGAGAAACAATCAGGAACAAGTCAGGATGCCCCTACGTAGGGGAACTGAAAGGGGACCAAAATATAATTTTTTAAATGTTCTGTTTTTAAACTCTTTTCTGATGCATACGGATGGCCAAAATAGTGTTTTAGTTCTCACGATTTTTCCCCCACTTCTTTTTTTTTCTTAGAAATATCAGGAATGTCAACTCCGATCTTCTCTGTTTCTTCTGCAGGACTTGATGGATGTGAGGATAAATATTTCAGAACTAAGTGAAGCAAGTAAACAAAAGCAAAAAAATCTACAAAAAGGCCAGAGTCTGCCACTGCTACTCACATCTGACTCCTAGATTTGTTCCATCATAATCAATGCAATTGGCTGGTGAATAAGGTACAGTTTAGCATGAACATGAATTTGGCCCATTTAGTCCCTGTGGTTTTTCTCCCTTTCAAGTGTTTAATTTGTTGCTCTCAATTCTTATGATGTCATCTTTTTAACTCATTATGCAGAAGTAACTGAACCTGATTTTTCTGCTGTAGAAACAGGGGGAAAAAGAGAGAGAATTAAAAGTATAACTTGCAGGCTGTCTTTCTGCATCATAAAGAAGCAAATAAAGTACAAGACCGTTTCTTTTTTCCCTTTCCTTTTACAGGTCACATTCAGGAATTTAAGTAAGTTTTGTTCAGGGTTATTAATTTTCAATGAGATTTTAAATAAAATATTGATGCTATTAGCTCTGATGGAACTACTTACATCCACAGAAGAATTAAATATGTTAGTCTTTGCAGGATCAAGCCTTAACTAAGACTTGTCTAAATTTAAAAGTTAATTTGGATTATGGTATGAATTTAAAGTGTTAGAGCTACTCCTGAATAACAACATGTGTGGACACACTTTTAGTATTCCATTGTTTTATTTATTAAAAAAGAGAGAGTGCTTTATTCCTCTTTAACTTAATCCATTTCCAGTGAATAAGAATTCCTGAATAACTCATTTATGAGCAGTCTTTTAAGTTCAGATCCTCAAAGGCATCTTGGTATTCTCAGTGGAGGAACCTAAATACCTTTGAGAATCTGGACCCCTGTCTTTTATTAGCCTCCCCTGTAAAGATTTAGCAGCCATTTTATTGGAAAATTAAAACCCACATTACCCATTCAAAGTCAATTTTACTTCCGAACTACATTATACAAACTAAAATCCTATATAATGATTTCCAAAAACAAAAACACTTTCACACACAAAAACATTTTGTCTTTGGGGCTATGTATAATGTTAAGAAAGCATATAGCCATTTTAAGATTGAGACTGATGCTGTTCCTATCCATGATTTTTTACATACATAAGCATAAGCATGAAGCATAAAATGGTGACTAAATATATTGGGGAAAAATATCACCCAATCAGACAAAATATCCACCCAGGATACATTTTTTTAAAGCTTCCTATATTTCAGTGCTGTGTGGTTGTAATTCAATACAATTTACTAAAATTAGGTATGTTTGCAATGTTATTATCATGTTTTCAGAAGCATAGAAGCAGGAAAAAAATGAGTATCTACACTGATGGAAAAGCATCAGTTGAGAAGTGATAGGAAGCACTGTCAAGTAAAGGGGTTTCTGCCCTCTCCCCTCCCCACCACACACTTCTTCTCTTGGGAGCTCAGGTTCTTCCTCCTTATCTTCAATCCTGGTCATAGGGAATGGGCAGTTTCTAAAGGACTGGGTCATGTGGAGTCATTCCCATCACTTCAACTGGGGCTAAGCCTGTGACTTGCCACAGGGCAGAGAGTTGTCTTTGAGTGATAACATCCAAAGGGAAGTGCAAGAGTACCTGGTTCTTTTACTTCACTGACAGTTTTTTAAAACCTTTCTCTGTCACAGGAATGATATGACAACATACTACAGCACTCATGGGAGCTTTTAATGACCTCCTCTCTTTATAGGAAATCAGAGAGAAATACATGTGGGAAGTTAGGATGCATGGGGGGCGGGGAACGCAGGATGGTATCATGGACAGGTGACACAGCATCTACTTAAGTCTTTTGTCTCTAAATTTACCCATTGTTTCTATTATCTATCTAGCTTCAATTGTGGGAGCAATAGTGAGAGAGCTAGTATCCGTGATACAGGGGTATAGGTTGTAGCCGTGTTGGTCTATTTTAGTTGGTCTAATAAAAGATATCAGATTTCCCCAAAGAACCTTGTCTGCCTAGTATCCATGAGACATACAAAAAACTAGAACTCTTCGTTCCAAAATGATACCTTTTATTAGACCAGCTGGGAAATGGCAAGAAAATTGTACTTTTCTGCAAGCTTTTGGGATCAAAGTCCCTTTGTCAGGTTCTGGGAAAAGTATAGATGGTACAAGATGGTAAAAAGTCCCCATAGGTAGGAAATAAATTTCATTTTTGCACAGAGGGAACTGAGGATGGAAGGCTGTTGCTCTGGGTCCGTGAGAGTGTCTTTGTGAGCTAGTATCCGTGAGGGCACTTGTCTACGCTAATGACTGTCACTGCTACCACCAACAGAGCTGAACTGAGGCCCCAGTGTTTGGAAATGTTAGGGTTGTTTACACAGGGGCACACAGGAAAATTGAGGCAGCTAAAGAGGAGTATTAAACTACAGTGATGGCAAAGCAGTTTATTCCTAAATGAAAGAAGCCACATGGGGTTGAATGCACTTAAGTTATGAGCCTGCTCTGACTTCACACCTTCCCTGGATTCCCCTTAGCTTGCCTGAGTGTCTTCAGAATGAGAGTAGGGGGAACAGATCTCCTGTAAAGAAACCTAAGGGGGGCATGTCACGGGGAGGAGTTCCCTGGCTTGCAAGAAATGGGCACAAGGACTTTGGATGTCTCAGGAAGCAGGCCTGAGAGAAATCAACACAAATGAAGGAAGTCTTATGGGGAAAATGGGTGTCTTTATTTGGCCTGCACAGAAGGCACAGTGTAGAGACTGGCCTCCTCAATTGCTTCCAAAACATGATCTTGTCCTCTTAGTGGGAGAAAACCATCCATCAGCAGCTTCCTACAAACCACCCCGAGAGCAGTGCAGGGTTGTACTTCCTCTTGCATACAACTTAATCTGATAATGATGGAGTTTTACTAATCGCGGTTTGAATACACTGAGGGCACACGACAGCTCCCTTCCACGGGCATGAGACAGGGCTCTTCGGGCACTCCGCAGGGCGGACCTCCAGAAAGCCAGAGCAGGAGAACGAGGAAAGAAACTGAAGCCACAACAAGAAGCGGGAGGCGAGGTTTGCTTTGCCCGCACATACTTCCTCGCTTCCAGCTTGCCTCGGGTCTGCGAGAAGCCAATCGAGAAGAGCTGAGCGAGTAATAACGGAGCGGGGAGGATGAAGCACGAGGATTTTATTATAAGCGCGCCGTGGCGCGGGGCCCCGCGAAGGAGACGATCCCCGCCGCTCGCCCACGCCGCTCTAGCGAAGGGGCCTGAAAGAAACGAGCTCCAACTTTCTCCCTCGGCCCGCACGGCTC